CACTCCACCCCCCAGCGCACTGAGAGGGCAAGACCCGGTGTGGTGGTGTGCGCCTATAATCCCAACTCTTGGGAGGCTGTACATGGGCAGATCACTGCGAGTCAGATCTAGTAGTGAGACCTTGAACACGCTGTAGACCCTTCCCTAAAAAAAAAGAAAAGAAATGAAAAGTTTCACCAGGGAGATGGCTCTGTAGCATAAGCGCTTGCCTGGCAAGTGCAAGGTCCTGAGTTCAATCCCCAGTACCATCAAAAAAAAAAAAAAAAAAGAAGAAGAAGAAGAAGCATAATAGGGTGACAAGTAAAATGGTTCCACATAAGCCAAGCTATGGTAGAATTCTGTGAGGAAAGTGTAGTGGAAATGCAAGCCCAAAGAGAACAAAACAAAAGCGTAAAATTTCCATTTGTTAAAGAATTCATTTTAATGGGTGATAAGGAACATTGAATGCATATTAATTGTAACATTTAAAATTGATACCAGAGCTATACTTTTTAAAATATACACGTACAATATGGCAGAAATTTTGTTCTTTGAAACTATTTAAACTTTTGCTAAAATCAAAATTCGATGCCTACTTGACACAGGTAAGAACACAGTTGCTGGGCCAGGGAGCTAGCTCAGTGGCGCAAGTGCCTGCCTGGCAAGCGCAAGGTGCTGAGTTTGATCACTGGGGCCAAAAAAAACAAAAAATGAACAAACAAAAAAAAATTGTTAGAAACTCTTTTAGGGAGTATGTGAGTGAAATAAATTTTACAAACTTCTAATCAAGCCCTGAGTCTTAAAATGTGCGTGTTTTGAAGGCTAACCTGGAAGAATGCCTATTTTCAGAACTTTGTAGTTAAGGTGGAAAAACCGAAAAAAAATCTGATTTGTGGCACTTTCATATGCTGAAAAGGAGGGGAGAGGGCAGGACTTAAGCCTCTGAGCAGGCTTCTTTTCCCCCTTCATTTCAAGTTGCAGCTAAGAGGCTCGCCAGAGCCACCACATTCGGCTTCTCCCTCCTGCGCTGCGCAGGCAGCTACACTCGGGAGCGGGTCACACGCGCACGCGATCGCTCAGGCAGCCCTTGGTGCAGGCCACACTGCGACCGGGGCCACAAGTCCGAGGATAACAGGACTGCAGGGGAAGAGGCTTGTGCAGCTCGCTTGCCCGCCCGCCAAGCGCGGGAAGATCTGTTTTCTTACGGAAAGCCCCCTCGAAGGCGCTGCCTCTCCCTTGGGTGGCCCTTCCACAGCTGATGAAACCCTGAGTTGCATTTTGTTCTACATAGGCTTTATTTTATTGCTTCCTGGTAGAGATAATTCCAGTAATAAAAAAAAGAGAAGCACCAAGATAAAATGTCTGTGGTATTAAACAGTGGTGTGCTCATTGCTTAGCAGATAACAGTTAATTTTAAAAGAGACTTGAGATGGATCGGGGATTAAAACCGGGGCCTGGGATGTGTTCTGTGTGTGTCCCGTTCCCACGAGGAACGAAGTGTTCTGTACTGCAAGCCTGTGCAAGAGGAGGAAGGGGAGGAGGGAGCAGGGGAGAGGGGGCAGGGGAGGAAGGGGGCGACAAAAGGGAGCGAGTGTGTCAAAACGTGTGCCAGCCCACCAGGAGCGCGAGCGCTGCGCACTCTGCACGCGAGCTAATAGACTACAGCAAGTTTTTAAAAATAGCAAAAAGAGAGAGCTGGGTCTGACAAGTCACCAACGTAGGTGGCTAGATTGGCCCTGCAGCTGTGGAGGGCAAGCCCTGTCGTCCCTGCCCACCCTGACGAGGCCACGGTTGGGGGCAGCAGGTGCACCGCAACGCTCTTCGGGGAGCAGGCGAGCACGTCCGGGGGCTCAGGCTCAGCCCTCTCAACCAACACAGACATGTTCAGACGCCAACAATGGTCATGCTGGGTCTAACTCAGTCGTACACACTGGGAAAGACCACGGCTGGAGCAGCTTTGTTCTGGTTGCCTTCTGTTCTCTGTGGTTGTTTTTTTATGTTGTTGTTGTTTTCTTTTAACAAAAACACATGCTTTTTAAACTTTTTCTGATTTGGGAGGCTTGTTTGAATTTGTGTTCTGATACAACAAAGATACTATATTATGCTAACGTGAACAAGTAAAAGCAGTTTTAAGACATCAAG